GCCTAAAACTAAAAACTACCCAAGTGAGCAAGGGGGGGACTTATGGGAAGCTGATATAATATTTTATTTCTTGATTTGGGTGCTGGTTACACTTGTGCGCCCTGCTGGTGAAAATGTATTAAGCTGTGCTCTTTCCTAAAATAGATTATACTTCAATAAAATTAAAATGATCAAAATTTTATTATTTCATTACCCAAGGACACAATTATTATTAGATTTAAAAATATTAAAGTTTCATACATATAAAAGTACCCACATGATTTTACTTGTGTGATCATCTTAGCCTCAGTCCTACATGAACAAAACACAAAACATACCATAGCAAAAGGAAAACACCTAATTGTCAGTTGTTTGGATTTTTATCCTAATTGTTACTTGATTGTTGGCGAACCTTCAACATACTGTTTTAATAAATATTTTTTGTTTTCTTTTAAAGGGAATTAAATTTAGTAGCATATTGAGAATTTTAGGGCATTCTTTGGAATAACGCCTTTGTTATTACTGTAAATTCACTCACTCGCCTAAACATATGCACTTTCTCTGATGAACGTACATTTTGGGGCTAGGCCATGATAAAATAAAAAACTTTAGTCTCATCACACCTTTGAGAGGGTAAAGTTAAAGATATTTTTACTCCATTTTAGAGAGGAAATGTAATGGTTTGCTCATGGTCTCGTAAGAGTATATGATCTTGCAAAATAATCAATAGATATTCATTGAATGCCTCATATGCCAGCCACTGGGCTAAATATAAAACTATAAAAAGACATAATATATTGTTTCTCCTCTTGGAATATTTATGAGATACCTGAAGAAATGCATACTCATATACAATTAATTAATGACATTGGTTCATGCAGGATGGGGCAAAAGTAGGTTTACAGTTGACATAGAATTTATTCTTGGATTATTATTTATTATTTTATGATTTTTCATACAAACAACTGTAAACCTACTTTTGTCCCCCTCTGTATGTTCATGCTAAATAAGTATGAGATAAAGAAAGAAGTAATAAGAAAAAAGGGGAAGGAAAAATAACAGAACTCTAAAATGGTACCCCAAAGGCAGAGAGCTCTTGGCAGTCAGGAAAGGCTTCCTGGAGGCAGCATGATAGGAGAAAAAAATTATTTTTGATAGAGAAAATTTGGTTTTAAATCTG